GCTGCGGACGGTGATCCAGCAAAATTAGAACAGATCATATCTTTGCCGGACGGCAGAGCTGCGCCAGAGTCATTTTTAAAGATTACATCGCACCAACAGGAAAAGAAACGAGCACAACATCCGTTTTTTCAAAATAAGGCACTTTTAAGCGGGATAATTATTCAGAATAATGTCGAATTGCAGCTATGTTAATCAATATACGGATATATTTCTACACAAATGCTGTCAGAATGTATCGTTCTGTTTGGGAAGCAGATGAAATATGTAGCATGAAGCGTATGGGTACACATGATACACATGGATTTTATTTTGAAATCAGAAGTTTCAGAAAGATGACAGCGAGACATTTTCAACATAGATATCAAAAGCCTTTATATCAATGTTTTCAGTTGTGTTTGGAGTTCGTCTTTCACAGAATTAATTATTTTTTACTGTGACTTTATCACGCGATCTCCTTGTATCTCCTTAATATTTGGCACTTGGCTATTACTGAGATTAGTGAATTATACAAGTTATTGAGGTGCCAGCTAACATTAGCGCAGCGCTAATGTTTGCAAAGCGCTAATGCTAACATGGCACTAATGCGGAGCTAACACTAACGCAGAAGCGTGGCAGTTAAAATTAAGAAGTTAGTTTGTAGTTTTGTAATCACTATAGAACAGGGGGTGAKWGAATTGTCAAAAACGTAATTARCTATTAATCATTATCGAATAAATGCTACYATTAATCATGATTAATCYTCTTGCCAATATCGCCCAGCTTGTAGGTTGGGTGATCAGTAATAGATGTGTTTCCAGTGACCATCTGAGGGTGTCATTAAAATCTGTCCAGTTGTTCATTAGATATTTTGGAAACAAAGACAAATGCACACACAGAAATTAAATAAAAAAACATGATTGGTTGTTTTTAGCTTTAATTAAAGAGAAAGTTTACAAAACGAGCACAAACATGGCTGAGCTTTCTGAATAATCACGTTTAACTTTAAGCACATGATCTCCACACAGAAGGGGAAATCTGTAAGTGACATTTTCTGTCCGACACAACTCTGAATTACACAGACTACTTCGGGATTAAGATCGTGTGATTTCTTATCCGAGTCTAAGGCTGGAGGTTTCATTCTGTCTTTGGTACTCTGAGACCGGAGATCAAGATGCTGCATTAATCTGTAAGCGGAGGCTCAGGTGTTGGGATTTGGGTTCTCTCTGCGAGTTCAAAGGGAGCCGATTCTCTGAGTACATCTGTGCATTCTTTCTCTCCCAGCTTCCCTCTACAAATCAGGAGGCGCAGAGGTAACAAGCTGCCTGGAAGCTTGTCAAAGACCTGCGTCTGCTTTGATCTGTGCTCCAGGTCACACTAACAGACTGACATTTACAGAAAAGCACACAAAAAATGGATTTTTCACATTCTTCTACACAAAAAAAAGAACCTCTCTTTGTGTGGACAAACAGGAGCACGAACCAAACTACACCTGCTAATGTTTTTTGCGCAAAACAGGCTTATTCCAATGGTTTGAGTTTAAAATTAAATGTCATAAAAAYTAGCTCTCGGACAATTTCCTTTTGTGGAAAAAAGGTTGGAGACCCCTTCTTTAAAGAATGCAAATCACKATCATCGTTCATGCCGGCTGCAAAGCGCTTGACTAACGACACCACAGTGGCTGTTTTAGAAACCCAACTCTTGTTCACAGTAAAAACTGGTTCTAATGGTTGCATTTAAAGTCTCCAGTCAGATGAAATCTAATTATTTYTTCTCTGTCGAATTTTCAGCCCAAGTGTCAGTCAAGATACTTGGTTTTTAACAAACTCAGAGACTCACACTCATTAAACTAGAGTTAACTATTTGGTTTTCTGAATCACTCACATTTARTACTCATTGGGCCTCATGCAAGAACRGTTTGTACAAACAGATTTGTTCTTAAGTTGTGCGTATAAGAGATTKTATTTAGGAGAATTTGTGGRGTTCACCAATTTTCTCATATTCTAAGATTTTCTTCAGATACGAYCAAAATTCACGAGTGGTCCAGACCTGTCGAATATTTTACGAGCAGTCAGTCTGCTGTTATCCAGATGGAWTTTCTTCACTAATAACTTTATATTTCATTAGTTTGAAGGTATTTCGAGTTAAAAATAAATCACACTCCATAATTATGGTGACAATAGGCTYTTCTGTTTAAATTATAATTATAATTTTAAATGGAATAATGTAGACTAACGACATAAATTGGTTAAATTAAATTAAATTGGCTAGCAGTGCACGACTGCTCTTCTCCTGAATAAATGGAAACTATTCTACACAGTTGTTTACTCAATTAAAAAATATTTGACCAAAGGAAAACTGGAGCAGGACTAGAGAGAGATGAATATGATTTAGATTTTTATTTCTCTGACTGTATACGACCCACAGGAGGCACGATATTAACAGCAGTCATTTCATTCCTCGACTTTAGCAGCTCCTTTAATTCCACAGCTGACGCTACTAAAAATAACAGATTTTCTTTACTGGATCTCTGAGAGCAGGACTTCAATCTCCAAACTAGTAAAGTTCTTCTTTTTACTTTGCGATGTCCTTTATAAATGGACACTTCCTGCTATGTGGGGCAGGAAACATATAGCCTTATATGGTGTTTTTGGGTGGTAATTATGCTAATCACCTCTCCTTGTGCACAAGCATCTGATACACATTCAACAGTTTACGCTCCTCATTTACACACTTTTCCTGAAGATAGGAGAGTTTGTTGAATCTGACGTGGCATGTTCGTACGACCCCTTCGTAGAACAAAAGTAAGAGAAATTTAGGATGAGAACATGAACATGTTCTTGCATGAGGCCCAATGCTTTCACTTCATGGGCACGGAGTCTCACCTGGTGTAGACGCCGTTCTTTCGACAGAAAGAGTTCTTCACGGACAGCCGTCGGTTGTTGAGCTCCAGAGCGGGGAAGCGGCCCTCGTCYAGGCTGACCATGTCGCCGTGGGTCAGAGCGTTACAGTTGGAGTTGTTACCTGGACACACGTACAGAGACACTGTGTGACCACAGACCACAGGGACAGACAGGTTAGTGTCCAGAAAAACAGGTGGAACTGATCAGCTAGACACCGAGCCCGTTTGGTGACAAATCACCTTGTGGCCTTGTGATAAATAATGAGTGGCCATCATAATAATAATAATAATAATAATAATA